ACCCACTTGAATAATGAATGAGGTTTTGGCAGATGAATTGAGAGATGACTGACAGTCCGCGACAGCCTGTGTCACAGCTCCAAAACAAGAGTTGAGCAACAGCAAGGGAGGGTGCCCACAAGCAACCAGCAGCCTTTCAGCATTGTTCACCCAATAGAGGAGGTTTCAGAACCAGAGGTGGCCAGGAGGAGAGCATCTCACCCCATCTCAACAGCAAAGAGCAAGTCCTGTTCTCTCCATTTAGTAAAATTAAAAGCAGAGCAGGGTACCAAGAGGAACCCACCCACACTCTCCCTTCATCAGCTCTCCCTGAACAATAACAACTTGGGGTCAAAGTGACAGCAATCACATCTGTTTTCTTTTTGAACATGTAAATCATCATCCTGGGTATTTTTAAGATGAATCAAAGAATCACAGAATTGTAAAGGGTTGGAAGGGACCTTCGGAGACCATCTAGTCCAACCCCCTACCAAAGCAGGGTCACCCAGAGCAGGCTGGACAGGAACACATCCAAGTGGCTTTTGATTGTCTCCAGAGAAGGGAGACTCCACAACCTCTCTGGGCAGCCTGTTCCTTGGGATCATCGAGTCCAACCATCAACCCCACTCTACAAAGTTCTCCCCTACACCACATCCCCCAACCCCACATCTAAATGACCCTTCAACACATTCAGGAATGGTGACCCAACCACCTCCCTGGGAAGCCTATTCCGAGCTTCAGGCTGGAAAGCTGGCCATTTTACTCCCAGTGGAAGCATGGGAGGGAAGAAGGCATAGAGCAGCACACAAACTCTTTGTCGTTTAAATGTTTACACTTGTTTCTTCAGAAAACCTTGTCTCTCCTGACCTCTGCACGCTCTTTTGCCTTGCCATATTGCCACTTTCCCCAAAAAATGCCTTTTACCTTTTACAGACTTTTGGCTGGCCGAATTCCTGCCTCTCCTGAGTTGCAAGACAGTAATGGTGGACAAACCAAAAGTATCACAGAATCACATAATCACAGAGTCTTCTAGATTGGAAGGGACCTTAAAGATCATCTCGTCCAACCATCAACCTAACTGACAAAAATAGACACCCGCACAACAAACAAAAAGTAACACCATCACTAAACTATACCTCCCAGCACTACATCAACCCGTCTTTTGAACACCTCCAGGGATGGTGCCTTAACCACCTCCCTGGGCAGCCCATTCCAATGGCTGATAACCCTTCCGGTGAAAACTTTTTTCCTAATATCCAGCCTGAACCTCCCCTGGCGTAACTTGAGGCCATTTCCTCTCGTCCTGTCACCTGTGACTTGAGACCAGAGACTGACCCCCACCTCTCTACACCCTCCTTTCAGGTAGTTCTAGAGAGCAATAAGGTCTCCCCTCAGCCTCCTCTTCTCCAGGCTGAATAACCCCAGCTCCCTCAGCCTCTCCTCATAAGATTTGTGCTCCAGACCCCTCACCAGCTTTGTTGCCCTAAACATCCTTCTGGCTTTTTCCCTAATACATTCTTTTTTTGTGAAAGACACAAAACCGGTTAGTTTTACATCAACGCCTAAGGCTGTGCTGCAGAAGCCTAAGACGTGCCTGTGGACTGAGCTTGAGCAACACGCAGCAGCAGCAGAGACCGAGTTTCTTGCTAGAGGCTGTGAGCTGAGAGAAGGCAACGGGAGGTGTAGGAGAATAGTCCTGCCTGAATGATAAACGATTCCTGGTCCATTCAAAGGATCTGACAGACCTACCTATTGGCTCTGCTCCGCGCAGAGAAGGGGACAGAACAACCTGTATCAACACAAAAGGAGCTGCAAAAATCAGATTTTTCCAGTGCATATTCAGCAACTCTATGCAGAATGCAGAATAAGTAATTAAACAATAACCCGTGTAAAAACCTTGTTCCCTTGTCATAGGATGCTTTGTGTTCGCTATTTTTAGCTTTTCAAGTGTCAGGAAGCAACAGAAAAAAATACTGCTGAACAGCACTGGACACCAAGAAAAAGTAAGTGAGGCAAAAAGAAATCTGAAGTAAGCTCTGCAAGATGCTTTCAAAGCTCTCTTCCCTGCAAGACAGGTGATGTATTTTGGTCTAAATAGCCCACCCGATTCTGTCCTCGGTGAACAACCCAGTGACAAACCGCCAATCACACCGAACTGCATCCCCATTCAGCTGGGTTTCCCCCACCGCCGAGCGATGCTTTATCAGCAGCTACAGAATCTTTAATTCGGCTATTTTTAACGAGCACGCCATTTTGCAGTCCTGCCCACCAGGAGGATTTGAAATCTCTCCAAATACTCCTCCCAGGTCCTGCTAACTTTGCCAGCGTGAATAGGGAACTTCAGGCTTGCAGAAGCAGCCGCTGCTGGCTGACGAGGCGGTGAAGATTTTCTTTCATATCTGCAGTTTGCATGAGTAGGCAGCTGGGGTTGGGATGAATTACTATCTCCGATTCCAGTGCTAATTTTAAGCATTTTGAGTTTAAGACGTTTACTTGGCACGGCCTGTTAGAAAAGACGCTGCCAATATCAACTATTGGTATTAGCAAACTTCTTCAGGAAAACGACCAAAGGTATTTCACAGCATGCCTCTGCTTATAACAGGAGCCAGTTGAGGGACCAGAGATATTATTGATTGAACCGTAATTGAATTTTGCTGAATGTTTAATCTCAAAACATTGTTTCAAAAGAAAAACTGAAACACCTTGTTCTGAAAGGAATTTTCAGTTCTTAGTTACCCCTTTTCTTTGGGGCCAAATCCTTTTCCCAAGCTCACCGGCCACTTTGCCTGAGAAATTGTATTTTCCACCAGCTATTTGCTGTGCCTTCCTGTCCCATTCTGGTGTTCAGCCTGTCATGTTTTCAGCAGCTGGCACTGCAAAGCATGTTTCTACAATCCCACGAGTCTGATCTCTTTGCAGAAATATTGCAAGTATAAAGCCCGGGACCAGCATATATTTGGAAGTTGGCAAATTTTCTAACAAGTGTTCAACCCACAAAGAAACTCCTTTAGATTTCAGACGCAGCCATCATACGCATGAGTTTAAAATCTTCTAATCTTCATTGATACGTTTGCAAAAGATTCAACTGAGTATAATTGAGCATTTTTATACTTGGAAATTATCTAAAAAGAAGGTTTCTTCTGTCTGTAGCCTTCCCCCATGCCACAATGCTCTTCACCCCATTCACAAGAGAAGCCACATGTATTTTGATGGCATTATTATTATGCAATAAGCAATTTAACGGTCCTTTTTCCATGCTTCTTAAATTTTATATTATACCTTTGACTTTACCCAAATGCCTATAAACCTAGTCATGTTTTTCCAACTACTAAGCTTACAGGTACCACTTATAAATTTGACACATACATCTAATAATTTTCTAGGTAACACTTTTGAAAACTATTAATCAGCCAGTGGCACATACATCTGTTGTTGTAAATGTCAACGTCGACACTGCTATATGTATTCCCCATCTTTAACATGTGCTTCAGAAATGAAAAAGCACAAGTACAAACCACCTAGAACAAATATAAAGCAGGTTTTTTTTCCAGATCCATTTCCCTTTCACTTACTGAGGCCATGTATCTATTTTGTTATTGCTATTATTATTGTTGTTCATTATGGTTTTATGGCCCTCACCCCACCCTAAATCATTTACCAGTTCCTTCTGCAGGACCTTGCTTTTCCGGGAAACAGAATTCCCCACAAAAGACAAGGGAAGCAAATACTACAATATTTAAAATGTTCTACATCCACTTTATTCTCCAAAATTCCCAGCCTTCTGTAAATACCACAAAGCAGTTTAAACAAATGACTAATCAGCACCTATAGGTTTGCTACAGCCTCGCTGCAATAGCTCATTAATGCTTGGGCATTTGCTTTTTATGGACTTCAAAATGTTTTGAAACGCATCAACCCATCAAGCAAAGATTCTGTTCAGCAGAAATTCCATTGCACCACACTGCAAGCAGAGTCCTAAAACTGCAACCTCTCTTTTTAAAAAGCATTAAAAATCTCCAAACAAATGGCTTTAATCTTCTAAAGATCTAGAAAGACTGTACCAAGAAAACCTCCTTTTTATAGTTCCGTATTTCTGTGAGATGAGCTCAAAGTGTTCACTGAGATAATTATTAGAGAGATTATGCAGATCTTATTTTCAAAAGGGTTTGTTTGGTCTCTTGTTACATAATTGCCTAGTGTTTGTACAGAGCTCAGGAAACAAAAAGCATCAGAGAAATACCAGGAATTCTTTATTTATGAGAAAAATAATTCTCCCAAATGTTATTAACATTTTCAGCGGCCTTTACTATATTGTGAAGATTTCTGTTGACCTGGAGAACTGCTCAGTGATCTAACCTTGGCAGCACATGAAATGAGAAATGTGCCTACCACCACTGGTTTTAGACTATTTGGGAAGAGCTGCAGGGAACAGCAGGAAGCAGAGAAAAAGTACAATATAATGTCTCACGATTTCCTTCACTTCTAGCTTTGCTGGTGACAAAGGTCACTACACCCAGGAGGTAAAATCAGGACTTAGAACTAAGTCAAACCAGTGCCATAAAGAACACAATCACTTTATGGAATCACTAAATGTTTCGAGAATTGGCTAAAACCACTTCAAACGTTTCCAAGCCCCTGCAAGTTCATAAGCAAAACTTAGTCAGACTACCTGAATTTGAACGTTCACTGTAACTTTGAACCAAATTCCAGCCAAGACCTTCCAAACACAATCAAAACTATCTTTAAAGAGTAGAAAAAGAGGCCCTGAACCCAATATAAAATTGTCATCAGGCACACTTATGTACACACTGCACTTCGTCTCGCAAACAATTTAAAAGCCACAGCAACTACACAATTTCAATTCTCATTTGCAATAATTCCAAGTTCATTTCATAAGTATTTACAGATACTCTGGATTTTTTAGTATGTCAAGAAAGCTTGCAGCTGGTGTGCTATGCAGCCATCATACTAGCTATTCAACCATCTTTTGCTTAAACACAATAAAATCAAATTCTACTTACAGCCAACCATCATCATGGCCACCGAAAAAATCTTCTCTCCATCCGTGGTTGGTGCTATGTTTCCAAATCCTATCGTTGTAAGGCTTGTCATGGTAAAGTAGAGAGAGGATATGTACAAGGAGTCTTTACTGGGTCCTCCTTCCCACTGCCCTGAGCCAGTGGTGTTGTATCGATATGGTGTCCCGATACTCAGTGCCAACTGGTAGAGCCAGCTATCTGTTTTGATTGTATTAGTGACTTCATCTATAACTTCATAGTCCCCGATGCTGTACCATATGCAGGCTAGCCAGTGGGCCACCAGTCCAAATACACACACCAACAGCACCAGTACAGCAGCACCATACTCCAGATAATGGTCCAACTTCCTGGCAACTCGACCGAGTCGGAGAAGGCGCACCACTTTCAAGGAACTGAAGAGGCTACTGATCCCCTGGAAAAGAATAAAAATCATTATTTCATCTGAAGTATCCTGCTGGTTAACACAGAAGGCTGTACATCAATTCCTGCATCTGTTTTAAATCTTTTCTGTACAACTATTTTTCATACCCCAGATGACAGACTACAAGATCAAACCCTCTTTCCCCTCCAGTGCTTTTATCCTCATCAGGGTAAATCAAGTTTGGCACTCAAGTCAGCCCCATTTGGTGGATAAATTACTTCATTCAAGCTAAGTCTTCCTAAGTAACAGAATATTTCTGTAGAATCCAAAGTGAGAAATAGCCTGTTTGTTACACGAAGGAGTGATTCAATATTTTGTCAGTTTGAAGTAAACAGGAGACTCTACTTTGACCTTAAGGAGGTCAAAAATGGTCAAAGAGCAGTCATAGGTGGGACTACACCATCCAAGTGGAGTCTTCTCAAAGCTTCTCAGAGAACAGCATTCTGTTAAATCCAAGCAGAAGATTGCTATTCTGGCCAAAATGGGGGTCCACCTATTTCAATGACCCTCAGCATCAACTGCCCGAGAGAAACGTCAGAAAGTGATTGCAATTGGTAATCGCAGAGAAATCTGCCGCTTGTTCCTCTTGTCCACCAGAGAGTACCTGTGTAACTTCCTCTACTCCAACAGTCTCCATCTCACCTTATCCTTCACTGCATCTAATATAACTCTGGATATTTTGTCGTTTGTTAGAAGTCTCACCGACCGAACGTGAACTAACAACTGTGGGCACATCACCCTTATGAGCGAGGGTAACAGAGACCACAAGGCACTGGCAAGAAAACCACACGCCTTTGCATATCCGATTAATTTCCTTTCCAATCAACAGACACTGCAGATATTTTCCTAAAGCAAGTATTTGTGCAGTGGTTTTCTTCCACGCAAGATAAATGAACTGCAAATAAACGGAACTACAAATATTTAGGGAACAGAAGCACAGGGACCATCAAAAAGTTAATAGAAACATCTGAGAGAGAACAAGAAATGTCTGTGTCCTTCCCAACGAACAAATGGTTTACATGAATTTTAATAGAGCTTATGGATGCAGAAAGAGAAGAAAAATATGTTCCTGAACTATCGCAATCCCATGATATACCTAACTTGTGCATTAAATTAATTAGTGGCTCAAAATAGAAGGCCTGTAAAGGAAGGTTTCTAATATAAAACATTCAGAAGCTGAAGACATTCAATTTAAAGTAGAAATTAAGACATAGAAAGCAATAAGGCAAACATTCCTAGTTAGTGTGCCAAGATTAAATTGCCCTTTTCTATGCATCATTATCAAATCAGTCTAGTCAAAACACTGGCTAATTATATTATCAAACAGTAAAAGAGTGCAGTTTCTGGAGTTTTCCATACCAGAAAAACATTGATCTCTTTTGCACCTCTGTTTCTATTCAGAACTAACGTTTGAAGGGTAACATAAATCTGATATTTCTAGATGTAATCTGTTCGACAAAGTTCTTGTATGCTTTTCAAATCCTGTTGGAATTTGTTTCAGATCCCCAAATCCGTAATAAATTGAAATTCTATATTTGCATTCAGGTTTCCCATGATGACTAATACCATTGGGGGAAGTGAAATTTTCCCATTTTGATTTCTGTATTTTGCATTTACACAGGACACAGATCTAATTTATCATTCTTATTTCCATCTTCTTATTTCCATCAAAACATAAATCGACTTTTTTTTGCTTTGGGTTATACATCTGTGAGGCAGTCTGAACAGCCAACTTGTCCAATAAACTGGGAAATCCCTTACAATTTGGTTACACAATGGACTGGGTGGGGTGAATGGACTAGTGACAGACGGTCACACCCCACAAGAACAGCATCTACATGAAAAAAGAAAACGACAGAGGAGTTTTACAGCGTATTTCATGAAATTAATCTGCAGTGTGTTTCAGTGAATTAACCCTGATTCTGAAAGTTTACAACTTGCTGTGAAATCAGAGAGAGCAAACAGCAGGGTGCTTTTTTCTAGGATCAGGTCCTATTGCGTTGGCCAAGGAGATACACATTATTTCCATTTTAGAGTCACTGTTTGGCTTCCCCACCAGGACCTGGGAGTCCCCTTTTTGCTCCCAGTAGCTTAAGTTCACCCCAGTGGCAAGGCTTATACCCTACTTTCCACTGCACAAACCCAAACCAGAAGTCAACCCTTGATCAGGTGAGTTTGCAGTCTGCCAGTCCATCCTCCATCCATATTGCATCTTCTCTGTAAATTACATGGACAGTTTAGCAGTTGTATAACTAATATAAAAATAAAGCATTTATTTCAAAGTCTGGGAGAATGTTTGTGCTGTATTTATTATTTTTTTCTTAAGCACAGATGACAATCGCATCTCTTATGTATGAAACAAAGAGAAATGTTTCATTTTAGCTGACGGTGAAATGTATTCTTTCCAAAGAGTAATTAATTTAAGTGAGTTTCACTGTAAGTCTTAAAGCCAGTTCAGTCTCACCCACTACTTTACGGCCAAAAAAAATCAGAAATATATTTATTCAGCATTCACATTTTATGTCTAATATTGCAAAATATAAAGACAATATTGGAAGCTTTAAAGGCCTACTCCATGGAACACTACCTAGAAAAGAGCAATTAAGTAGACAGTAAAAGAGCATGTGATGCATCACTGCTTAATTGGGTTGGGTCAAGCTGGTACCTTTATAGTTAACAAATCACCTGACAATAAATGCACAGTTGTTAATACACAGAGCTCTGCCTAGGACTCAGCACCGATCTCTTTGGTGGAAATGAAGTGAAAGACTAACAAATTAAGTTTGGGCTGTTCATAAATTCAGTTTTCTAAACTCAACTGATTGCTGGCTGCCTTTAATTTCATTTTTAACTGAATTTATGCCCCATAATGAATATTTTGGAAACCCTGCTGTAGCGCATGTTTTTAATACCGAAGATCCAACCTTCTGGAGAAGCACTGGTCACTCTATTGCCGTATTTAGTGAGGTGGGCCAACTGTCTGTACAATCTGCTGGTCTGTGTTCTCTGACTGAGAATATCTCGTTATCTTATGAACCACACAATCCCGCCCCTTGAGATTTTGTCTGACTTATTTGATCAGGTCTTAATCAGATGAGGACATTCAGCTTGCTCATCTCAAATCATCTCAGCTGAAGAAATCTTTTAACTGAAAAACCACCTACTCCAGAATTTCATTTTCTCCGTCAAGTTTGGGACCAAATTCCTTTCTGATACAAATCTTTGACTGCAGTGTTACAAGTGTGAGTCACAGGAGACCTTCCCAGGGACTTCTAAGGCCATTAGGCCAGGAGACTACACAGGCAATAGCTCGGAACCTGTCCTTTCTCTACCACAATTTTGATTTAGTAGACAGCTGAAGCCACTACAAAGGATGTAGACAATGTCAAATTTATCCAGAAAGACATTTTTGAGGAATGGATGTTCAACTTTGGAATTAAATTAGCCATTCATGATTAAACAAAGCCCAAGGTTTTTGATGTAAGGGTGTTGCAAAGTCTGTATTCTCAAATTCTCTTGATATACTAAGAAAGGAAATTCAGTTTGGTAGCAGAGGCAGAAGTGATGACAGCACTCAGTCTGAAACGCAGAGTGACCACTCCTTCCTATTAAAATTACCTGATTCTTATCATTTCAGATCTTAGATGTTACCACATCGGCAAACTTGAGTCTTCCAGCCTGAAAGCAGTGTCCAAGGTGTGTACCTGCATCTGGCTGAGCTTTTCTGACCACAAGGCTGCGAAAGACATCGCCCACAATCGCAATACACCCCGAGCAAGAACAGGGAGCCAGATTCTCTTGCCCTGATCAGCCAGGCAATAGAAAGAACGAAGCTATCAAAAAATCATGTTACACAGGGCTCAACAGCCAAACGTGCAAGAGCCTGAAGGGAACACCAAAGTAAAATGAAGGTTAACAAGTGCAGGACATCATTGCAGTTGGTATGAGCACTAGAGATGTCCTCCCGAACCAGGAAACAGGGAGTGGAGGCTGCTCTACGCTAAAGGAGCAGCAGAGCTGCATCTCTGTAAACGACATAAAAAGATTTAATCAGCTGGTTACTTGCTAAATCTAATAAGTCTTTTCTGCAGTAGGAAATTATTGCATAAATTTTTAATAAAGTAAAATAGAAACAAAGCCAGCCGTTATTTTCTACCATCTAAATATACTAAAATCTTCTTAAACCTCAAAATTAAATCCCAGTATGCTGAAATGGTAAATTTGTGCTTAATTTTTTTCTTTTTTTTCCTATTAGGGAACAATGCGTTCTTAACTCTAGGCACTTTTTCAATTAGATTTCACTCTACCATTTTTTATTTATTTGTTGTTAGCTGTGGGCACATATGCAACCACAACAGAAAAATGAAGCATATATTTTAAATGTGTTCTAAAACTGAAATCCTCCCGGCTCCGAAAATGGGGATTGGTACTGCATCATTTAACAGAAAACATTGTCTTGGAAAAGGTCAGAGAGAGAGAAAAAAAAAAAATAGTTTTTCCACTATGTTTTGATGTTCAGCATTGTGGTTTTGAAGAATTTATGGAGTGGCCAAGAACCAGAGCTGGGAACCTTTCTATGAAATGCAGGAGGGCACGTTGCCACTGCAAAGGTGTCACTGCAATATATACAGACCTACCTAACCTAAATTTAAGCTAATATGCTTAGAGTTGTTAGATGCAGGCAACTGCAGCAAGCTTCATTCAGCAAAACTAGCTGCTAAAGCAATCGCATCCTCTGAGGAGCTTTGAGCCCAGGCTGAGCTCTTTATCTCCGCGCAAGAGCAAAATGGTTTCATGGAAGTTGAGCTGGAGCACACCTGCAGGAGCCACCGCCGCACCGTGACTCGGCTCTAACCATCCTCCCGGGGGTGGGATTCACCTCACATAATGCTGCAACCTTACGGCCAGTCATCCAGTCTCTACGTTCACTGGTCAGCTTTCCTCCCCGATGAGTGGAGAGAGAGGCAAGTCAGGAGCCTGATTCACCCGGA